CTTTAAGACCCGATTCGACAAACAATTTGAAAGTCAGAGTAGTTAAGTTGCAGCGCAATAGGAACAAAGCCAGACCTTACTCCCCCGTAGGTGATTTTTTTTTTGCAGGGATATTCCTGCACGGGCCCTAAGCCTCTAGCTGGCCCACTAAGTGTTGCTTGTTTCTGTTTTACTTGGTCGGAGTATGAGTATTTATGACTCGTATGGTCGCTTCAGTAACATTTTATCCCACGTGTTTAACAACTTCTTCTGCTCTATTCTTCTTCTTCTGTTGAATCTAAGTTGAAATCTTAATGGGTTTGTAACTGTGCACTGTGTTAGATAATGTTCCGGTGGTCTGTCGGGCAGTGGTCTCCACAGTGTTGTGTCGGGCAGTGGTCTCCACAGTGTTGTGTCGGGCAGTGGTCTCCACAGTGTTGTGTCGGGCAGTGGTCTCCACAGTGTTGTGTCGGGCAGTGGTCTCCACAGTGTTGTGTCGGGCAGTGGTCTCCACAGTGTTGTGTCGGGCAGTGGTCTCCACAGTGTTGTGTCGGGCAGTGGTCTCCACAGCGCTGACAGGTAGGTAAGTGCCTTCAGCTACTCTCATTTACCACCCGCAGCAGCCGGCGCCTCCAGTACCCCATCTGTCCTCCTTCACCAATACCCCCAGACGATTTCCGTTACTAAGATCCCCAGCTGCCTTCTGTCACTATCATCATCCAGCTGCTTTCTGTCACTATCATCATCCAGCTGCTTTCTGTCACTATCATCATCCAGCTGTTTTCTGTCACTATCATCATCCAGCTGCCTTCTGTTACTCTCATCATCCAGCTGTCTTCTGTCACAACACTCCTAGCTGCCACCTCCACCCAGTTGCCATTCGTCGCCAACATTCCCTCAGCTACCTTCCGTCACTAACATTCCCTCAGCTGCCTTCCGTTACCAATACTCCTAGCTGCCATTTGTTACCAATACCTTCAGCTGCTTTCCGTTACCAATAATAATAAAAAAAACATTCCAGAGCTAAGTCAACTCTCGTATCAGCAACGGTTGAGGGCCACAGGGCGAGCAACACTGCTAACCAGGCCTGACAGGGCGGACCTCATTGAAACTTATAAATTACTGAACAATTTGGAAGTTGATTGACAATTTCAGACAATTGATGGACAATTTCTTCATAAGGTCAGATGTAACACAAACAAGGAGCAACGGTTTCAAGCTCAACAAACCTGAAAACAGGAGATGCTTTTTCACCCTCAGGGTTATAAACCCATGGACCCACCTAAACGCCGAAGCCATATATGCCAAAACTCTGTTAAATTTTAAAGTCCAACTGGAAAAGATCATCAGAACAAATGGGGTGAGGGGACCTTTGACAAGCCGCCGGTTTCCTGTCCTCGTCGAGGCCACTAGTGTTAGTGGCTCTCAGGTAAACTCAGGTATACGCTGCCTTCCGTCTCAAATAACCACATTCTGGTACGAACATAAGCTGCCTTATCTTACCAATACCCCGGGCTGCCTCCCATTATTAACACCTCCCGACTGCCTTCCTTCCTTCATCATTCATCTGCTGCCTTTTGTCACAACACCGCCAGCTGCCTTCCGTCAAGCTCCCGTCAGCTATATATAAGGTCTGGCAGCAACTATGGCGCCTACCCGGACGCCATCGTCGTAATTGCCATATATTGCCATATAATTATCACATAATTAGTTACACTAAACTAACATAATTAATTACGGTCATCAGCCACTCAAGTCTCAGTTAGTTTATTATTATTATTATTATTATTATTATTATTATTATTATTATTATTATTATTATTATTATTATCGAGATTTGTGTGAACGTCTCACTTTTATGTTCATTATTTATTATTATTGAAATAAAAAATATTATAATTTGTATAATGAATATTTTTGTAATATTATTATAGTAATCATTAATTCATAATTCACTGTGTCGGGGGGACAGGCAGCCACTTTATATATACAGTACATGTTGACCAGACCACACAATAGAAGGTGAAGGGATGACGACGTTCCGGTCCGTCCTGGACCATTCTCAACTCGACCATTCACAATCGACTTGAGAATGGTCCAGGACGGACCGAAACGTCGTCATCCCTTCACTTTCTAGTGTGTGGTCTGGTCAACATACTTCAGCCACGTTATTGTGACTCATCTCCTGCTCTGTACAGTACATGTTAGGCCAGGTCTCCCCCCCCCCCCCGGGGTCGAATTATTGACCACAGGATAGCCAGAGGCTTAGGGCCCGCGCAGGAATATCTCTGCAAAAAAAAAACTCTACAACAAGCTCACTAACTCCTACAGGGATACCTTTTTATTGCTAGGTGGACAGGGTCATTAGGTGATAGAAAACGCGCCCAACCATTTCAGTCCCACCCGGGATTCGAACCCGGAATTCTCGACTGAACGAGTCGAGAATGAACCGGTTCGAACTTCCGTTCGTAAGATAATACGTAGTGTACTGCGTGTACACTACGTACACTAAGAGTACAATAAGTGTACTCACCTAATTGTGCTTGAGGGGTTGAGCTCTAGCTCTTTGGTCCCGCTTCTCAACTGTCAATCAACTGGTGTACAGGTTCCTGAGCCTACTGGGCTCTATCATATCTACATTTGAAACTGTGTATGGAGTCAGCCTCCACCACATCACTGCCTAATGCATTCCACCTGCTAACTACTCTGGCACTGAAAAAGTTCTTTCTAACGTCCATGTGGCTCATTTGGCTACTCAGTCTCCACCTGTGTTCCCTTGTTCGCGTACCACACGTGTTAAACAGTTTATCCTTATCTACCCTGTCAATTCCTCTGAGAATTTTGTAGGTAGTGACCATGTCTCCCCTTACTCTTGTCTTCCAGCGACGTGAGGTGCAGTTCCCTCAGCCTTTCCTCGTAACTCATGCCTCTTAGTTCTAGGACTAGCCTAGTGGCATACCTCTGAACTTTTTCCAGCTTCGTCTTGTGCTTGAAAAGGTACGGGCCGCAAACTCCAGGATTGGTCTTACATAAGTGATATACAAGATTCTGAATTAATCCTTACACAGGTTCCTGAAGGCTGTTCTAATGGTAGCCAGCCTTGCATACGCCGCCGATGTTATTCTTTTTATGTGGGCTTCAGGGAGACAGGTTTGGTGTGATATCAACTCCTAGATCTTTCTCTCTGTCCGTTTAATGAAGTACTTCATCTCCTATTCTGTATCCTGTGCCTGGCCTCTTGTTTCCACCGCTTAGTTGCATTACCTTGCATTTACTCGGGTTGAACTTTAGTAGCCATTTGTCGGACCATTCATTCAGTCTGTCTAGTTCATCTTGTAGCCTTCTATTATCTTCCTCCGTCTTAATCCTCCTCATAGTTTTTTCATCATCAGCAAACAATGAGAGGAACGATTCTATACCCTCTGGGAGATCATTTATATATACCAGAAACAGTATAGGTCCAAGTACTGACCCCTGCGGGACTCCACTGGTGACGTCTCGCCAATCTGAGACCTCACCCCTCACACTGACTCGTTGTCTTCTGTTGCTTAGGTACTCCCTTAGCCAATGGAGTACCTTCCCTTTCACTCCAGTCTGTGTAATGATGATAATGTGGTGATCATGTGGAATGTATTGATGAGGACACAACAGTGAAGTAAGTCAATAGAGGAAGAAAATGTGGGGCTGTTGAGTGTGGTGCTTCAACCTGTTCTCTTGAGAGAGGGAGAGGGAGAGAGAGAGAGAGAGAGGGGGGGGGAAGAGATGGTGGAGTGTGATGGTGCTGGTACTCTGTGATGCTGGAGTGTGATGTTCTCTGTGATGATGTAATAATTGAAGTGTTGTCACCTTGTTATTGAATTTCATCCCAAAGTGTTGCCACAAATGACAGTTAAGGTAGTTGTTGGCCCCAAGCCTATGGACTTTTATTCTCAGTAAATTGTTTATCATTTTTTAGTGTTTCGTTTTACGCTTATCTTCCTCTATATTGTGTGCCTGGGGCTGGGTTGGAACACCTGGGGCTGGGTTGGAACACCTGGGGCTGGGTTGGAACACCTGGGGCTGGGTTGGAACACCTGGGGCTGGGTTGGAACACCTGGGGCTGGGTTGGAACACCTGGGGCTGGGTTGGAACACCTGGGGCTGGGTTGGAACACCTGGGGCTGGGTTGGAACACCTGGGGCTGGGTTGGAACACCTGGGGCTGGGTTGGAACACCTGGGGCTGGGTTGGAACACCTGGGGCTGGGTTGGAACACCTGGGGCTGGGTTGGAACACTGAACACGATTAAGTAAACTCCAGGCAGAGACAACTTGACCACTGTATTCATAGCACTTATCTGGCCGTGACTGAAGCTTTAGCCAGAGTGGCGACCTAGGCTATGTATATAATTTTGTGGCGGGCAAATCGGCAGCACGGAGCCCGGGTCGATGTCCCTGGATACATAGATTGGAGACCCGGGAGCGGCCGGTTTTCTCACTTGTCATGGGGTTACAAGGCCAAGTGTGGGACACTTTCAGTGAGTGACTGAGGTGCACCCCCCCCCCTTAAGTGGACACTTGATGCCTTAAGTGGCACTGTGGGAGGGGGAAGCAAGATCCGGGTGTGTGCCACATATAGTAGTAAAAAGTTTGCAACAACACCAGCTGGATCAACTAAGGTTTGGAAGGCTGGCAAACAGATAGTCCGGAAAAAGAGGACAAAGTATCAGTCTCTTGGAAGGTCATGCCGTCAACAAGCTCATTAATTCCTAAGAACAGTACAATGGTCAATTATGCTATTATTACCAGCGTGCTAAATACAGGTACGGTATTGTAATTTTGTAGCAGTTTGCTTACAAATGTTGCATTATGGCACTGTACCTCTGTATATACTACTGTATAACTGTAATGTTAACACTGTAACTTAGCACTGTAATATTGCAATGACTACTTATTGTATTGACACTATGTGATCACTGTGAGCACTATACTACTGTAGTCTGGCACTTGAGCACTGTATCCTAGGATAGTATTATCTTTCACAGGTCACCATGGAGGCCCAAGATGGCGTCCGGAGCCGGCCAACAGCCCACTCCGTTTACACAGGTCAGATTTCCTCTCATTTATTTAAGACTGACAATATACTATCTGGCTCACCACTTATGTTTTCAACTGAGCTTTGTTGATACTTAACAAACTGCTAAAACAATTTCTTATACTTCACATTTGTTACAATAAAATATTTTTACTCCAGTTTGTACCAAACGGTACAAACTTTTCCTGATATTTCCATTTCCCAATACAAATATTATATTGGGAAATGGAGGTAACCAAGGAGAACAACAAGATAAATTAAAATGAATAAGAAGAAAAGAAGGAGGAGATGTGATAAATACATAGTACGATAGAAGAGAAGGAGACAGCATGCGCAAACAATATTTTCTCACTACAGGTGTTTTTTCTCACTCCAGGTGTGGGAGACGAAGAGGGAGAGGAAAATGTGGAGGAGCTGCGGGAGCGCCTTCGTCAGATGAAAGCCATGGTGAGCGAGCGGGCCATCACCAGGAAGTCTGGTACGTGTCGTGGTACGTGATCTGGGGTCTGGTACGTGTCATGGTACGTGATCTGGGGTCTGGTACGTGTCGTGGTACGTGATCTGGGGTCTGGTACGTGTCAAAGTGTCTTTTCGGGTTCAGTATGTATCCCGGTGACTGATCTGGGGTCCAGTACGTGACTTGGAGTCAGGTACGTCGTCTGGGATCCGGTAAGTATTGTGGCGTGTGACCTGCGCTCCGGAAGTGTTGTGTGATTTGGAGAAAAATGAGAGGGTGGTCTGGTGAGGGAGGAGCATGAGGGAAGTGTGGGAAACAGAAGCGTGAGGGAGGAGTGGGAAACACAAGCATAAGAGAGGTGTGGGCAAAGAAGTGTGAGGTGGGTGTGGGAAAGAGAAGTGTGACGGTCGGGTAAAAGCCACCACTGAATGTAATGAAACTGCAATTTCTGGAGGGATCCGCTCGTGGTTCCCTGAAGATTTAATGCTTGTATAGTACCAGAGACCACGATAGGTCTACCAGAGACCACTAGCCTGGTCGGTATTTCGACTCAAATCCACGAAGGGAATAGAGTCGAATGGACATTGGAAAGGGTTTAAGTAGGCCAACTGGAGACTGAGAAGGCCGACCTCGGCGTGCCTTGGTTAGGTCACACGAATCCCAGTGCATCTCGCCAGCCAAATTTCGCTCCTGACCAGAGGGAAGACGGTAGACCGAAAGCCCAAAATAGATTTACCCAGGGCAAGGACCACCACAAGTGAGGAAGGGAACAAACCCCCTAACACTAGAGGGAAGAGAACCCTAACAGCGCTAGGGAACTCAGGGAAGTTCTGATGATTGTCATCTGTTATACATAACCTGCATAACCTGACTGAGCACATGCAGCTCCAAGCACCCTATATTGTGTGTGTGTGTGTGTACACTCACCTAGTTGTGCTTGCAAGGGTTGAGCTCTGGGCCTTTGGTCGCGCTTCTCAACCGACAATCAACGTGTGTACAGATTCTGGAGCCTATTGGGCTCTATCAAATCTACATTGGAAACTGTGTATGGAGTCTGCTTACACCATATCACTGACTAATGCATTTCATCTGTTATCTACTGACACTGAAAAAGTCTTTCTAATGTCTGAGACTGATGGATGCCTACTACTATTACTATGGTACCAGACGTACACAAATACCTTTATGACCTAGGTATACTGTATAGACATGCCTGATGGTGGTTTGCCACTGACGGGGTGACGTTTGTATTTGCCATGGGGGACTTCCCGGCCTGCAGTGAAGATGACATCGTCGGCTGGTCTGGCATTAACGGTGCCGGTGGACCATTTGTTGGTTAATGTCGCCCTGGTAGACGCGCTACATGTGTAGCTGTCGGACTTAGTGGGAATACAGCTGCTTCAGGGAAACCGTGCTGTGGTAAAGTTCCACCACCAGGCTGCCTTTCAGGCGTTTCTCTGGCGGTGTGAGGGGGCGTGTTTACCCTCTTTCCTGATACCGCCGGTTCTGTTAAAAGTGGTGAATCTTAGTGTCGCCTTGACGTATGTGGCGGTGTATGGTGCCCCCTTCGAGTTTCAGGACGATCTTTTGACTTCCTGTTTTGAACGGTTTGGAACTGTGTTAAGTGTTCGTTGGAACAAGGTCCTTGCCGGGTACTGTGCTGGGATGCTTGACGGCTCGCGCACCCCTGACGATGTCGCTGACGTGTAGTGTTCCGTCATCGGTGTCCGTGTTGGGTTATATGATCCGCTGCCTGTATCGGGGGGGGGGGGGGGGGGGGGAAACCACGCACCAGTTTTAGGTGTGGTCATGAGGGTCATCTGGCTATAGCGTGCGACGTGAGAGCAACTGGTATGGTGCATATTTTTCGTGCAGAGGATTTTCCACCGTTCGGACGGTTCTGAGGACGGAGTGGGTACTGTGCCTGAGGTGCCTGATTGCCTGTCTGCTGCTCAGCCTGTTGAGGCGGGTTCTATGGCTTGTGCGACACGTTTGATGATTGCCATCTGCTGTGGCCCCAGAGGTTGTTGAGCCGGTGTGGGTATCGGGCCGTCGCCTGCACTGCGTGTGGTGGAGGGTGTCCCGGTGGAGGTCATTGTCCTGCTCCCGCCTGTGGATGTGGTCCCGGCTCCCGGGGATGCGAGTTCTTCTGTTTTGGAGGGAGTGCATCGGCCGGGAAAGGTGCCTGCGGAGCCTGTGTGTATCGACGACTGTAGTTCTGATGCTTTCATCCCTTTGCAAAAGCGTGCACGCCGGTGTTCTGAGGCAGTTTCCCTGGATGATGTGGACAGTGTGGAGGATGTGGCCTCTATGGATTCTTTGGACAGTGAGGGTGTGGACCGAGTGGATGTGATGATGGTGGCCGTGCCTGCGGTGGGGCCTGGTGGGAGTGGTGTGGTGCGGCCTGTCTCAAGGCGCTGGAGGCTGGCCCGGAGTGTCTCCTCTTCGTGGTGTGCCTTGAGAGGAGGTGGGGGAGTATAGTGCTCTGGCGTCCACCGCAGTAAGTGACGGGGCTATGAGGGGCTCAGAGTTGCTTTCTGTACCTCCTGCTTTTGGATCCCCACAGTGGGGGGGGGGGGTTTTCCCCGTGATGATCGGGACCTCGTCATGGTGCTGAGGAAGGATGTGCGTCGGGGGGCCTCGGCTCCTGTGCCCAGTGGCGGGAACGATGCCACGCTTGCGTCCCCTGCTGTTCCCCCCTCCTTCGTTGCCCCAGTCTGGGAGGAGCCTTGTCCCGGCTGCCGGGGTGTTGGGCCTTTCTCGGGATGCCCGGGTGCTTCCGATCCTGTGGTGCTCTTCCACTACCTGGGTGCCGCGGGTGAGGGGTTTGTTTATGAGGTGCCGGATCGGATGCCTCTGCCAAAGGCGCCGCCTGGTGGCTGGGTGCTCGCTGACAAGATGCTGATTTGAGCAGCGTACTGCTTGCGCTTTCTGATGCAGCAGGAGTTCCCGTAAAAATATTAGTAGACGTCATACGCATAACGTATCGCCCTCCAGGGTGGCGAGTCTCCCTCTAACGTCCACCTCCGTTTTTGTCGCCGCTCCTCTATCTACAGCTCCTCGCGACCAGCACTTTTGACCCTTATCATTCTCAACATACATGCGTCTCCTAACATCTGTACTGGTGCAGTCATCGGGAGGACAAACCCCTTCATGCAAACTGCACCTACTCTCAAGAAGAAGACCTTTGGTTGTGTAACATCTTGAAGTGTTTTTGAGCCTGGGGACTGACTAATGATTGATGAAGATTAAACCACCCAAGAGGTGGCACGGGCATGAATAGCTCGTAAAACTATTCGACAGCACATCGGTCAATAATGCTATGAGAGCTGCCCTGAGAGCCCCTATGTGGACCAGGCTTGAAACTCAAACTGGAAACTGGTTTGCCCTGGCTTCAAGAAAGATTATCTCAAAGAACAGATATTTGGGAGGTGTGGTAAGACTGACCGATGATTGATTGATGAAGGTTAAACCACCCAAGAGGTGACACGAGCATGAATAGCCCGGAAATGGTAGTTTATTTTTTTTAAATGTATACTGTGTACTGAGGTCTCATTTAATCGTCAGGCTGCTATCGCGAGGGAGGATACTGCTTGACAATCTTTATGAGGGTGTCCAGCTGCTGGACACCTTTCATTACCAGAAGAGTAGCAGTGTTCATAGCTTCAGGGTGGTTACTATTAGATTCTGGGACTCTTAAAACTCCCTAAACTTTCTAACTTGGAGGCCTAAAGATACCATATTGCAGAGGGCGAACTTTCTGCTACTCTCTGGTGTAGATGGGATTTTGTTGAGGTGTGCGAGTTTTTTGGTGATGGTGTTTTTTTATGTACTCTAGGCTGGGTTGGATTCTTTTGTGGAATCACTGGATGACGAGTTGCCAATTTAGCAATTTCATCGGCTTTCTCGTTTAATGGGATTGCAACATGGGATGGGATCTAGTTTAGGGTTCTGTTGCGTCTTTTGCCTTTAGATACTGCTCCAAGATACAAAATGGTGGTAATTATTTCCACAGTGTCTTTCCACTGCTTTTTTCCTAATATTTGAAGTGCAGCTGTTGAGTCTGTGTGCATGATTGCATTTTGAGTGTTTTGTGCAATGTTGCAGTGCCTGTTGTAGGGAGTGTGGTTGCAACCACCTGCCGTGTCGGACGTTCCTGAAGTCTCTTTGCTCCTGGCTGGTGTTTACATTGGACGGTTGCCCTGCCGAGTGGTAGTTTGCCACTGCGGGGTAACTTTTTCAGTCTCAGTATGGGGACTTACGTGCCGCCGCTGCGGAGGAAGGAGTCGGCTGGGCTGACTCCTTCCTCCACCTTCCTTCTTCCTCCACCTTCCTTCTTCCTCCACCTTCCTCCTTTCTCCACCTTCCTCCTTCCTCCACCTTCCAATATCCACCCACAGGTGGATATTGGTATCATCAGCAACACTGTTTGATGTTACGGACGTGAAAGTGGAAAATCTCGCTGGTCTTCAGATCGTTCGTGAGGGCAAAGTGGTTGTGAAGTTCTCGGAGTGGCTTGTTCTGGAAGTTTCTCGACCAGTATGAGGATCGGGAGGTGCGGCTGAGTAACAGTCAAGACTCTGTAACTGTGACGAATTTGAGTGTGGAGTACACATACGTGTCTATTAAGAATGCGCTGTTTGAAATGTCTGAGGATCTTCTCCGTCGGGTTCTTGCCAGGTATGGGCGGGTGGACTCTATTCGTGTGTGTGTAGGCACACGTCCGGTGACGTCAAGGGACTCAATAATGGCTACAGGATGGCTAAGATGGTTCTTCGTGGGAATGTGCCTTCTTTTCTATCGATTGCTGGCATTACAGTCTGCTTCTATTACCGTGGGCAAACTCGGACATGTTTTAAGTGTGGCCACGTTGGACATTTGGCTGCTGCCTACAACACTCGGATGAACGGGTTAACGTGTTTACTGAAGCGTATTTTCCTCCTTTGCCAGATCAAGAGGATCTCTCGGTTCTGGGTAGTGTCCCTTTCTTGTATGAGGACGGATGCAGTGTTGGATGACGC